TCTCTAACAAATTACACCCCAGTTTGACCTATGGCCTCTATATGCATATGTGTATATATGCATGCACATATACACACATACATGCATGTAAGCACACAAACACATACGTGTTCACACACACACACACACACACCTACCTCAGCCACTTAGGTTTTACCCTGGCAGTCTCTCCTCTAGTAAGGAAGAATTAGACCGTGAAAACATATCAGAATTTCCTAAAACTCCCTTGGGACTCACCTCCTGGCTTCATGTCCCTTCCATAGCCCTGTGATATTTCGACCTGAGAGCACAATGCCCTTCAGCCAGCTGCAGGCACAGGGCTGGAGTCCGTGTGAGGACAACACTCTTGCACTGACCTACTTGCCTTTTAGGAAGAGAGGTGGGAAGGGGGGGAGGCTACCTGACAGCCCAGCTATTCAAAGCTATAACTGCAAGGAGCTTTTGATTAGGGCCGGGCCGGAGAAAGCAGGCCCACCCAGGAGGCCCAGACCCAGCGGCAAACATGGTTTGAAGTGTTATTCTCGGCTTGCTGGGCCAGTGTCTCCATTGTTCTCCGTGCCTGGTTAGAAAAGGCACTCTCTCGGTGCCACGCGGGAGCTCCTGCCTAGCCAGCCCGAGAAGGTTCCTGAGCCTGGAGGATGGAATCGGTACCCATTCCATCAAGCTGAGCTGCAGAGTAGGGAGCAGGTTGGCACTGGGCGTGGCGGCTCCTTCGTTAAGGCGGCAGTGGCTGCTGGCGGCTACGATCAGCCTCCAGGAAGATGCTAACGAGCTCCTGTCCGCGGCAGATGGTAGAAGGCTAGCTTTTTGATTTCTCTTGTTTACTGCTTTTTCTTTCCTAAAAAAAAAAAAAGAAAAGAAAAAGAAAAAAAAAGCGCTAACCAAGACGCCCTTTTCCTTGTGCTTGATTTTTAACAAAGTCACATATGAATTTTTAACCCTTTTTATTCCAGCCTTCCTCAGATCTCGAATTCAAGGAACAGCAGCCTCTTGGAACCCCGGGAGACCCCACCCTGGCATCCTTCTTCCGCTCCTTTCCGTTTGGCACACAGCCATTCCATTTTCAGTGAGCATGGCATTAACCAGTGCTCGGGGACCCTGTGGGTATGGGTTTCACTCCTTTCCTGTCTGAGACAAGCAGAGGTTATTACGCTTTGGTTTCATCTCGTTCCTCCTTACGGCAGACGCACTGCCCTGACACGCGCGCTCACACGCGCACCCCCGACGTGAATCACTACAGTCCGTCAAGTCCCCTCTGTATGCAGGCGCCCCACTAAGCAACACCCAGACATTACCCTCACCCCAACCCTTACGTCCTTTACCTTCGCAGCCCATTTCAGAGACGAAGAACCGAGGCTAAGGACCACAGCCGAGATCAAATGGACAGGAAGGGACAGAAGCCGAAAGCCAGGAAGTTCCAATCCCAAACCAGTGTGTTCAGTCTGTCTTCCCCGGCGAGGAGGTGGATGCATGATTGAGGTCTCCAGGATTTCAGGCATTTGTCCTGATTTCCAACTCTTGTTTTGGGGGGCGGTGAGATGTTGAGAGGTTCACTAGTGGAGAGAGGTGAATGATTGGAGAGGTTGTTCTGAACGCCCAGAGATGGAGGGAGAAGGGCCATCAGGCAGAGCCTGCATAGGAAACCACCGGTGGTGGCGCACGCCTTTAATCCCAGCACTCGGGAGGCAGAGGCAGGCGGATCTCTGTAAGTTCGAGGCCGGGCTGGTCCAACAGCCTCCAAAACAATACAGAGAAACCCTGTCTCCTAAAAACAAACAAACAAACAAACAAACAAAATGGGATGGCTTAACCCGAAAGACGGCGTTGCTCTCGGCTCTGTGAGCCAAAGCTTTGGGTAGAGTGTCAGCATCACTCCATTCGAGATGGCCAGACCGTCCGAGCAGAGCCTTTCTCAGATCTCAGATAGCTCAGGGGCTTGGCATTACCCACCGGCTCTGCCGAGGGCCGAACAGAAATGGCTTCTTTCTGTCTCATTCTTGGGGACCCGGCCAAAGGGCCAGCCTAAACTCAAGGGACGTGGAACAGATTCCTTCGGATGGCTCAGTGGCCTGTATGTAAACACCTTTGCAGGCAATCAACCCTGTATGGTGTCTTGGCAGTGGCAGATAGCCAAAAGTGTTAGGTAATGTTACAGAAAAATCCCACCGCGGATGTTTTTCTAGGTGGGGAACGATTCTCCTGGAAACCACATTGCCCTCATTCTCTCAGCTCTACAAGCAAACATAGAAGTTAGAAGTCATTGTCGGACACTGACTGGCCCTCAGGTGGTGACAGTTCAGTGGTTCTCTGACCAATGAGCTCAGTGCAGGTGCAACACCCTCCCTTGACCCAAGCAATCTGCACATACCGTCTGCCCAAGGGGAAGGGCAGGGGTGTCCACCCCATAGAGCACTCAGGCCATGTGCCAGGGCTCAAGCCATGTGCCAGGGATGCCGCCGTGATCGCCAAGTGAGGAGGGCAAAACTAATCCCATCTGCTGAAACCAGCCAGCTCAGGTCTTCTAAGAAAACCAAACCAACGCCCCTTCAGGAAACCCTGCAAGGACCTTAAAGACATTCAGGTCCCAACTAGCAGGGCATTTGCGACCATCTTATGCTACACATTCAAGGCGAAATGCAGGAACGTAGTTTGGTGTCCTAGTCAAGGTTTTTACTGCTGCAATGTAACACCACGGCCAAAAACAACTCGGGGAGTGTCTTAGGTTTCTGTTGTTGTGGAAAAGACACCGAGACCATGCCAAGTCTTAGAAAGGAAAACATTTAATCGGAACTGGCTTACAGTTCAGAGGTTTACTCCATCATTGTCATGGCGGGAAGCCCGGTGGCAGGCAGGCAGACAGACGTGGTGCTGAGAGGTAGCTGAGAGTTCTACATCTGGATCCCCAGGAAGCGAGAAGAGACTGAGCCACCAGGCCTGGCTTGAGCTTCTGAAACCTCAAAGCTCACCCGCCAGGGACACACTTCCTCCAACAAGGCCACACCTCCTAATAGTGCGGCTGTCTATGAGGAGTCATTTTAATTCACACCGCCACAGGGAGGTGTTGGGCCTAAGAAAGGCTCGGATGCGAGGCCCAGTGTAAGCTCCTGAGCCTGACTTGAGTTTAGGGCTCGGATGTGAGGCCCAGTGTAAGCTCCTGAGCCTGGCTAGAGTTTGGAGACCTGTCTTTAACCTGTAACCTCCACGTGGGGGTGACTCAGCCAGACCTGATGTAAGACTGCCCCCTGCCTAGCTACCTGCCTGCTTGGTGGAATACTATTGGCCCTTAATCCTCACGTCACCTTACCCTATCCTAAGATTCCCATCCCCCACCTCAGTCCTATATAAGTTCCTGCCTGTTGGAATACATCGAGATCCTGCTTCGACAGACTCCCGACTCAGTGTGTGTTTTTTTCTCCCTGGTAACTAATGGGGGGAGGGTCTGAGTCGTAGATACTCACCTGCCCGCTCAGCCCCCAGGAAGAGACAGGCTGGACCGGCCCTTCCCCTGCTCCACCTGCAGGAGGAAAGGGTTTATGGGGCATATGTTTCCACATCACTGTTCATTGTCGAAAGAGGTCAGGGTAGGAACTCAAACAGGGCAAGAACCTGGAGGCAGGAGCAGATGCATGGAGGGGAGCAGCTGACTGGCCTGCTCCCCATAGATTTCTCAGAACCCAGGCACCATCCACCACAGGCTGGGCCCCTCCCGCATCAGCCCCGGAAAAAAATGGGTCTTACAAGGCTCCCTCCTTTCAGGTTCCTCCCACTGCTGAGGTAAGACTAGCCGGCACACCTGGGGTGTTAAAATCAAGTGGGCTACGACCAGCTGAAATGTAATCTCAATTTTAGCATTGCTAGGGCCGGGGCCACCCTAAGAGATGTTTAACCCAAGCCACGGCAAGGCGGAGACCCAGAGAACCGAGGTCTATGCCTGTCAGGCGTTTCGCTTGGTGGTGAGGATTCAAGGAGGAGTAGGGCATGGCTCTTGCCATCAGAAAGCCTACAGTCAAGATGGTGTGGAGAAGGGCGGACTGAGCAGGCCTCACTATATAGTTCTGCAGGATGCAAATGTACTCAGGAAACCTGGCCGGGGCTAGGACAGGAGCCCCACGTGTCAGCTTCGGGTCCCTTGAGTGCTGTCTATGACTACTGACGAGCTTACTTGAAAATCAAGCAAATGAGCAAAAAACTTGCTTACTGAGCCACCCATCGGAGCCCGCAGGGCAGGAAGTGTTTAGGGAGTCCCAGGGAGGGCATGTGCCCCCGCCCCTGCAGCATGAGGGAGTTGATGTCTAGTTCACAGGCTCTGGTTTCTACAGTCTCAGGAGAGCTGGACCCCCCCCACCCCCATCATCAACATACCCGGGGTAGCTGTGGCTTAGGCCATAGGAGTGGCTCAGATTTGAGAAGAACTCCACGACAGAACGGCGCAAAACTGGGAGTTACTTCCAGTTCTCAGCCGTCACCCTCACCACGGGCCTGGGCGGTAGCTGTGATACACGCACCCATTTTACAGATTGAGAAACGGAGGTTTGAGAGCGACACTGTCATCGCCCAGTGTCACAGAACTACCAAAGGGGAAGGATTAGGGTGAGAATTCATTCATGCTTGCAAGAGATCCACCACCAAGCTGCACCCGGAGGCACCATTTGGGGGGGGGGTGGACACAACGAGATTGAAGTGCGCTGCTCCCCTCACACCGTCCCCTCTCCTGACTCCGCTTCCCTTCCTTGTTACCGATACCAAAACGCAGGTGTGCAGGCCCCTCCTCAGTCCCAAAGCCTGCGAGCCCCCGGGGGTTTGCGCGTTTGGTGATTTACCATCCTGGCCCAAGAGGCATCACTTGGGGAACTTTACCCAAGGCCAGGGTCACACAGAGGTCTGGGTCGGTGGGCCTGGGTGCAGCCAGGCATCAGGGTTATTTATTTATTTATTTATTTATTTATTTATTTATTTATTTATTTATTAACAGCGCCGCCCCCAGGAGAGCCTCGCGGACTTCAGCCTCGGTGGTCCACCTGAGCAGAAGCAGCAAGGGTGCGGCCGTGCTGGGCGGTGACGTCACTGCGGCAGAGCCCAAACCCGGAGGATGCTGGGCGCGCAAACAGCATCGGGGAGGGTGCCATGGTAACAGGCTGGCGGCAATTGCAAGACAGCGGAGGGGCCTCCTGGGCAGCAAAGCGGATCGGGTGGCCTTTCCGCGTGCCCAGAGCCCTTCGCGCGCCCTCCCGTGCGCGCGGGGAGCCTCGGGGCGCAGCGGCCCACGCAGGCGCAGGGAGGTAGGGGAGCCGCGGGGCGGCGGCCGGTGGGGCGGGGTGAGTCAGCGCGCGCGGAGGCGGCGCGGGGGCGGCGGGCGAGCGGGAGCCAACCGCAGCCGCCGCGGGCCCAGCCTGCCTGGTAACAGTCAGCGCCTCCCTCCGGGAGGGGAGCCGAGCGCAGGGCGGGGGAGAGCCGGGCGGCCCGCAGGTGGGGCGCGGTGGTGGCGCAGGCAGCTTTGTCCCCGCACGGCCCTCGGCTGAGTCACCGGCCCGGTGTCTGTGGCCAGATGGCCCCACCCGCATGGATGCGGCCCTCAGGCTAAGCCAGGCCTGGCTGTGGCGATGGAAGGGATAGAGAGAGCTAGGTGGCTTCTGTGCAGCGCCCTCCCGGGATGGAGAGGTCCAGCCATCCCCCAGCCAGCGTGGGGTAGAAAGCACAGTAGCAGCTGACACCCCCCCCCCAGAGCCCACGCGAAAGGGAGCAATGTCCTAAGACACGTGTGAGGGGCTGGGGGCTCAGACGGACCCGGAGCAGCGGGGTCCAGGAAGGTTCCACACCTGCCCGGGGCGGGGCCACCTGGAGGACGTGCCAAAAACAACAAAACAAAACAAAAAAACATAAGAGATGCAGAACCCCTAACCCTATTCGGTAAAAATGGGGACAGCCAGGACACCTGCATTTTAACAAGTATTCCAGCTCTTTCCAAACTGGTGGCTGGTGCGGTGCGCTTTGAACGGGCAAAGGCTCGTGCTCATGGCACCTTCTCTCTGCTGACTAATGGCCGGGTGAGGCCTATGCCTGCGGAAGCATAGCCAGGCCCAGCAGTAGCGGCGACACCAGTCACCACACCCTACTGGTCAGTCCACGAAGTTCTCAGCCCTACTGGACATTTTCTTCCCAGAGACGCAGCTGTGGTCCTGGAGAGGCTCGACCTTAGCTCCTCCTGCCTCCACTCTGCAGGCTCTCACCGTCTCGACCCCTTCTCCTCGTGTGGTAACGAATGCCACTTGCAACCAGCGGACGTCGCTGGTACTTTGGTGCCTTTTTTTGTTTTTCTGGTTATGGTTCCATATGAGGATATGGTTGGTGCCTTCAGCCTACTAGACACCGAGACACACGAACTCCGCAAGTCTAGCTCTTCTAGATGGATGTCAGCTCAGACAGATTCTGTATGTTATGTAATCTCCAGTTTAAAGGCTGTTAGTCTATTACAGGAGGATAGAGGAAAAAGTTCACTGAAAATTAGGCTTAAGACAAATTTATCCCCTTGCTTGGCAAATGTCTTATCCTGGAACAGCCCATAATGAAGGTGGAAAAAAAACTGAATAAAGACAAGATTACTTTTTCAGCAATTTGTTTGAAATGTAGACACAGATGTCTCTGGGGATTAGGTGGCTTCGGCTCAAATGTCAGCATTCCCACGTTCTAGCCGCATGACCTTGGGCTAATTTGTGACACCAAGCCTCCATTTCCCTTATTGAAGTAAGGATACATTTCTTCTTTTTCTTCTTTTTTGTTTGTTTTTTGTTTTTGGAGACAGGGTTTCTCTGTGGCTTTGGAGCCTGTCCTGGAACTCGCTCTGTAGACCAGGCTGGTCTCGAACTCACAGAGATCCGCCTGCCCCTGCCTCCCGAGTGCTGGGATTAAAGGCGTGCGCCACCAACGCCCGGCCAGTTTATCTAATTCTTACTCCCACCTTCCTGAAACAGGAACCACTGCTTCATGTCTACTTCTCCAGGTAGACGTGCAGAGATTTATTTTGAGAAACACCTGAGACCACACTATTAGGAACGAACAAATGCTGACACAGCCTGGTAGCCTGGCCCCCAGGCGTGCTAGTACCTAACCATAACCACAGTGAATTACCGCGAGGGAGGAAGGACCAGGCCTCCCCCTAAACCATCAGACAGCAAAGGCGGGATTTTCAGCTTTCATTAGTATTCCTCTTCTGGATAACGAAGTGGTTCTCAACCTGTGGGTCGTGAACCCTTTGGAGAAAGGCAAACGACCCTTTCATAGGGGTTACCTAAGACCATCAGAAAACAGTTATTTATATTGTGATTCATAACAGTAATAAAATTACAGCTATGAACTAGCAATGAGAATAGTTTTATGGTTGGGGAATCACCACAACATGAGGCACTGGATTAAAGGTCACAGTGGCAGGAAGGTTGAGAACCACTGTTTTAGGGCATCAGTCCTTGTCACTGGGGCTCAAGTGTTTGTGGTGGCAGCAGCAGGAGGAGGCAGGAAGGGTGGGGAGGTCTTATTCTTATCTCTCTCTCTAGTTTATTGTAATTATTTTCGAGGTTTGCCAGGAATGTCCAACCTTTTGACATTGTTGACTTGGTGTTAACCTACAAAGTTCATACTCAAAGAGGAAAAAAAAACCCCACAGAAATCTCTTAATGTTTACAGAGAACACAGGTTTTTGTGTTGGGCTCGTAGCTCTCCTTACCCACGGGTTAGACACACCTACATCCTTAACCCTTTGTAACCCACGCACTGAAGCTTGCTTTGGTTTAAATATGCTCCCCTAAATGGGTGTGTTAAACAGTCTTCAAGGCAATAGGGTTAAGACTTGGAGCCTTTTGCAGGTGAGCAGAGCCCCAGAGCTCAGCTGTTATTTTTAGTTTAATGCCCATGGCAAAAGGGCCTTGAAGCTCTGAAGCTGACCTCGTCTCCCTTCTGCCATGGGACGGTGCAGGCTCACTGCACGTCTGCGTGGGATTCTGCAGGTTTGCTGCACGTCTGCCGTGGGAAGGTGCAGGCTCCCTGCATGTCTGCGTGGGATGATGTAGGCTCTCGGGATGCGGAGGCTCAGTCTTGGACTTCCATCCTCTAGAGCTACGAGAAGGAAATAATTGTTCTTAACGCATCACCCAGTCTGTGGCGTGCTGTTACTGCATTGCAGAAGGACTCAAGACAAAGCCTTATCTATCCCCCATGTGATAATATTTAGGTGTTTCAAATGGGGTGTTTGGGAGACAGGGTTAGATGAGGTCACCAGGGATGTACCCCATGATGGGATTGGAACCCTTATAAAAAGAGATCACGGGTGCACAATATTCTCCACAACCTTCCTTCATTCCTCTTCTTTCCTGCATGGGGACCCTGAGGAAGTAGCCATCTGAACTCCAGGTGAGAGCCCCCACTAGACACTCTGTGACCTTTTGGCCCTAGATGTTTTAGCCTTCACTTATCGGACTGAATGTCTACTATGTAGCAGGCATCAGGCTAACTCTCACTTCAGGGCCAACCAGTGTTACAGTAGCCTTGATCAGGGCTTCATGGAGGCCATTCTGGCCTGGGTGGAGCCACAACCTTCAGAACATTAAACAGTGTTAAGCCAGTCAATCACCTGGCCAAGGACCTGCCACCCCCCACCCCCCAGGATGAGTTTACTTTGAGTGCATGAAAGATACGGGAGGAATAATTATCCCTTAATGAGATTACCTTCTTTTCCTTCCCAGAATTCCCACTCCCGGTGCAGGGGCTTACAGAGCAACATTTCCTTCCATCTTCCTACCTGCATTCTAAGCACGCTTACACTACACTCTGTTGATCACGTTCCCCGTGATGCTCCCCTCTCTGTCATGTGGATGCTTGTCCACCACGTGGCTGACCCCCAAGCCTAACCCTAAGAGCGTGGCCCTAGGCTTCCTCCTCTCCGTCTCCCTCCTCCAGACAATAGCCTAGATTCACAGTTTTCCCGCTTTGGGATTTTTCTCTTGGTTGGGCGGTGGTGGTGGCACACATCTTTAATCCCAGCACTCGGGAGGCACAGGCAGGAGGATCTCTGTGAGTTTGGGGCCAGCCTGGTCTAAAAGAGCGAGTTTCGGGACAACCTGAGCTACACGGAGAAACAACAAATTTCTTTGAAACTCTCATAAAGGTGTCCTCGAGCTTCCTTTGGAGTCCATTCTCATGCTCTTTGAATAATGAGACGATGAACCCCAAGAGGAGGACCCTGACTTCTCCAGTAATTCGTGACCTCTCTGGTGGGACTCCTCAGTAATACAAGAGCCTAGTGGAGCTTTTTTTTTTTTTTCTTTCCTGGCTGCCTATTGGCCACCTGGGCCTCCAGGTAGCCATCCGTCCTTGCTTCTCAAAGCTGCCTTCAGAAAGCCAAGCAACCACTGTCTCCATCCATTAATGGAGCCCCGTTTTGGAAAATACGTGAAACCCACAGGATTCTGTCCTCCCTTGGTTTAACTCAAGCTGCCCAGTCCTGACCCTCAAAGGGATGAAAAGCCACCCTGCCCTGGTGTGGGTGATCAACTGAGCCATTTGCATCTGGAAGTTTCTGTCTGTCCCCATGCTTAACCCAGCCCCCTAGCAGTGTTGCCCAGAAGAGGGCAAACAGTTTCGCTTCCTCTGGAGGAGATGTGAAAAAAAATAAAGACGGGCGGCCAAAGCAGGAAGAGGAAGGGAGGGTGCCCATATTTATAGAGAAACCCCAGTTGCCGGACCAGAGTGCCACGTGTGGGAGCTGCTCACACACTTATGCACATGGCTAAGAGGAGCCAAGCCCTGCCCAAGAGCTTGTGGGAAAAGACTGGAGGGCAGCACTAGGGGGTGTCCTGGGCTACACAATCCCTCCACACACTACCCTGCAATAAAGGACACCAAGAAGAGGACCAATGACCAGCCGAGTCGTCGCCACCTCTACCATCCATACCCACCGTCCCCCGTGTTGGACACCCAGCCACTAAGGTGTCCTCCCAGGCGGGCCAGCTTTAGGGAGAACCCGGTACTCAGCCTGGCACTGGGCGTTCACTGCCGCGCAGGGGACTCCCACCCGCAGACTAAACTACCCTGCTCTTAGGGGTCTGTGCTGTCTGTGTCGGGTGGAAATGAGTCCTGGGGAGGAAGGAGGTCCTGAGGATGAACTCAGAGGAGGCCTGGAAGGCGGGAGGTGGTGACGCTTGGGGGGGGGGACTTGTGTCGGGAGTTTGCACACTGAAGGCTCCCACTGGGAGAAAGTCAGGCTCCTGGGAGGGACATGGGGTCTATCCTCAGCTCACATCTGTCCAACTCCTCATAGCCCAAGGACGCCCGATTCCGGGAGATCCAGGGAGCACACAGTGGCCCAGCAGAGATGATTTCAAAGTGAGTGACTGACATCTGGAGACTTTCGAAACTCCGGGACAGAAGGGACAGAACCAACCAAACCCCTGACTCCAGAGGAGGAGTAGGATTTCTAACCCAGTCAGGGTTTGCGCTCTCTCTCTCTCTCTCTCTCTCTCTCTCTCTCTCTCTCTCTCTCTCTCTCTCTCTCTCCATGCTCTCCAGGAGTCCCTGCATACAGGGTGACACTGGGACAGTGTGGAGGAAGTGGCGGCCACCATTTGATGCAGAGGACTAAGTTACTCCCTACAGTCAGCTACCAGGGACCTGGGAAGCGCGGGTGTCAGTCCAGCCCCAGGAAAACCTTTAGGCTTTCCCATTCTTCTTCACACAACGGGACAGGTCCACCACATTCTCAGCAAGCAAACACCAGAGGAACACCTGGTGGGAGAGGAAGAGACGGGAGCCCAGGCTGTCAGCCCCCAAGCCTCACTTTGGGTGGCACCGGGAGATGAGCCGTGTAGGAGACAAGAGCGAACCCTCTGCTAAGATTTATTTTTAAAAAAATGGTTTCTTGTTGCTGTTATTTTTTTTTGTCAAGAAAATTTTGCCTTTTAAAAGTTCATGTAAATTAGTATCCAGAAATGGTGACTTTAATGAATGACATTTTCATGGGTGTGTGTCACGTACTTCCCTCGGATTCATGCACCCTGTGTTTTCCTCTCTTGCCCAATGGGTTTCCTCCCTTTTCTGTGTTTATTTATTTTTACTGGGTCTCACTATATATGCCTGGTTGGCCTGGAACTTGATGTGTAGACCAAACCGGCCTCCAAATCACAGAAGTCACATGCCTTTGCCCCCCAGGTGCTAGGATTAACACCGAACCCCAGTTTTTGTTTTTTTGTTTTTTTAGAGAACAAGGTCTCTCTCTGTGTAGCCCAGGCTAGCCTCAAACTGTGGAGGGCCTGCCTTGGCCTCCAGAGTGCTGGGATTAGAAATGAGTGCTGCCAGGCTTCAAGGTCACCGTTTATTATTTTTGTTGTTTGTTGTTATTGATTTGTTTTCCTTTTTGTCTGTATGAGGACAAGCCCGGGTCCCTTCTGCCAATACGGCCTGACCACACCCGTTAGTGCTTGGCTGCCTGTCTCCAGTCCTGGGACCCACGTGCTTCCTCTTCAGGGTACCCCGGTGCATTCTGGGGCTCACTCTGAGCAGGGCTGCCTAGGCTGGCATTATCTAATTGCTGGCCACCTCCTTTTTTTTTTTTTTTTTTTTGGTTTTTTGAGACAGGGTTTCTCTGTGGCTTTGGAGGCTGTCCTGGAACTCTCTCGGTAGACCAGGCTGGCCTCGAACTCACAATGATCTGCCTGCCTCTGCCTCCCGAGTGCTGGGATTAAAGGCGTGCTCCACCAACGCCCGGCTGCTGGTCACCTCCTTTTGTTACATTGTTTCCTCCAAGCCGCCTGGCTCCGAAAGCCTCCTTCCCAGACAGACAGCTGAGATGCCAGCCTCCTTCTGCCCATGCCATGGAGAACAGAGAGAGCGATCAGAAACTCTCGCCTCCAAGCAGCTGCAGCCGGATCCAAGGCACAGACTGCTGGGGCAGCCGGTGACAACGAGGATGGGCCAGGGCCCTATTGACGGCTGTGGCTTTCTTATTAGGCTCAGCTTTCAGCTTCGTGGCGCATGACAAGGGGTCACCATGACAACATAACAAATACTGGGACGGGACTAGTCACCTCCTGGGAGGGTGACCCCCGGTGTCCAGAAGGCCCCCTCTCATTTCAGACAGACAGATGCTCCTGGGTTCTCGAAGCACCCAGTCAAAGGGCTTTGAGCCGACTTCTGGGTACAAAAACTAAATACAGCCACCGGCCGCCTGGGCGACAGGCCCAGGACTGTGGGGTCCGCCCGTGAGGAAAAGTTCCTGGAGAGCAGGAGGCATGGAAGCCTCATCCTGCCCTGTCCTGTCTGATGGGCAGGCAGTTTGGACAGAGCGAACACAACCTGGGCTGTGAGCCTCTCAAGCGCCTCACGTGGGATCTCTCGCTCACGATAACACTTGAGGGACCGACGACTATTGGGGGGGCACATTTTAAGCGTATTTATCTGCCTGGCATTTCCAAACGGGGAAACTGGCATCCAGGAAGACGAGTTCTCCAAAGCTCCGAAGAACATGAGTCAGAATTCGAACATAGGTAGCTGTTCTCTAGGGTCCAGGCTCGGAACAACTACTGTCTTTGCAGTGACGAACTAATAATGGATGAATCTGTGTAGGGAAGTCTGAACGGGCACTAGAGGCAGAAACCTGGAGCAGAACTAAAGCAGAACCACAGACAGAATGTGTGGGGGTGAGGGTGTGTGCAGGGGTGAGGGTGTGTGCAGGGGTGAGGGTGTGTGCAGGGGTGAGGGTGTGTGGGGGATGAGGGTGTGTGCAGGGGTGAGGGTGTATGGAGGGTGAGGGTGTGTGCAGGGGTGAGGGTGCGTGCAGGGGTGAGGGTGCGTGCAGGGGTGAGGGTGCGTGCAGGGGTGAGGGTGTGTGCGGGGTGAGGGTGTATGGAGGGTGAGGGTGTGTGGGGGATGAGGGTGTGTGCAGGGGTGAGGGTGTGTGGAGGGTGAGGGTGCGTGCAGGGGTGAGGGTGCGTGCAGGGGTGAGGGTGTGTGGAGGGTGAGGGTGCGTGCAGGGGTGAGGGTGTATGGAGGGTGAGGGTGCGTGCGGGGTGAGGGTGCGTGCGGGGTGAGGGTGCGTGCAGGGGTGAGGGTGCGTGCAGGGGTGAGGGTGCGTGCAGGGGTGAGGGTGCGTGCAGGGGTGAGGGTGCGTGCAGGGGTGAGGGTGCGTGCAGGGGTGAGGGTGCGTGCGGGGTGAGGGTGTGTGGGGGGTGAGGGTGTGTGGGGGGTGAGGGTGTGTGCAGGGGTGAGGGTGTGTGGAGGGTGAGGGTGTGTGCAGGAGTGAGGGTGTGTGGGGGATGAGGGTGCGTGCAGGGGTGAGGGTGTGTGCAGGGGTGAGGGTGTGTGCAGGGGTGAGGGTGTGTGCGGGGTGAGGGTGCGTGCGGGTTGAGGGTGCGTGCAGGGGTGAGGGTGTATGCGGGGGTGAGGGTGTGTGCAGGGGTGAGGGTGCGTGCAGGGGTGAGGGTGCGTGCAGGGGTGAGGGTGTATGGAGGGTGAGGGTGCGTGCAGGGGTGAGGGTGCGTGCAGGGGTGAGGGTGTGTGCGGGGTGAGGGTGTGTGCGGGGTGAGGGTGCGTGCAGGGGTGAGGGTGCGTGCAGGGTGAGGGTGTGTGCAGGGGTGAGGGTGCGTGCAGGGGTGAGGGTGCGTGCAGGGGTGAGGGTGCGTGCAGGGGTGAGGGTGCGTGCAGGGGTGAGGGTGTATGGAGGGTGAGGGTGCGTGCAGGGGTGAGGGTGTATGGAGGGTGAGGGTGCGTGCAGGGGTGAGGGTGTGTGCGGGGTGAGGGTGTGTGCAGGGGTGAGGGTGTGTGCAGGGGTGAGGGTGCGTGCAGGGGTGAGGGTGCGTGCAGGGGTGCGTGCCTGGCCCTGGATGCATGCACAGGGCTCTTGTCCTCTCTTCGGTCCCCGTACCTGCAGGTGTCAGCGGGCGGCCGGCACCGAGGCTCTCCCGCTGCAGAGAAGAAACGAGAGTTTCCTTTTTGAGCACAAGGATGACACAGGCGTTGGGGGCCGTGAGAGCAGGCAGCGGGCACACGAGTCTGAGGTTTAGGTCCCGACTCCGGAGCCATCCGGCTAGTCCGTGGCTGTGTCAGAGAAAGGGCTCAGGATGCTATTGTCACCCCCTGGGGACAAAGGGACGATCTGGTGTCACCGTCTTCAGTGACGTGCAGGGTCCTCTAGGTACGCGCTCCAAAAGGCCCCGGGCTACCTCACCTGTGAGGTTGGGCAGAAGTGAGAGTCCATGCGGTCACAGCATTATCAGGGATGAGAGCGACGGCGACGACCAACAATGACAGGCCAAGTGTCATGACATGTCCTAAGATGCGAGGGCCTCGTCCAATCAGATCCTGTGTCCTAAGATGTGAGGTCAGATCATGTGCCCTAAGATGCGAGGGCCTCGTCCAATCAGATCCTGTGTCCTAAGATGTGAGGGCCTCATCCAATCAGATCGTGCGCCCTAAGATGTGAGGTCAGATCATGTGCCCTAACATGCGAGGGCGTCGTCCAATCAGATCGTGCGTCCTAAGATGTGAGGTCAGATCATGTGTCCTAAGATGTGAGGTCAGATCGTGTGTCCTAAGATGCGAGGGCCTCGTCCAATCGGATGAAGGTCTGCACTGAACAAAAAGCACGATGGGCCCTTCCTGCTCGACGGTTGTCAGCCGGGAGGCAGTCTTCTCTAGATTTCAACCCCAAACTTCTAACGTCAACGTCAGGCGTGCTGGTGACAAGGACGACAAATTAACCACAACTCCGTCTAGCTGCCCACTCACCTAATGAGCGTGCTTCTCTGGAGATCCCGAGTACAGGCCTAACCTCGGGGGTCCTCCCCGCGATGCTGAGAGAAAGGGAGCGTCACTGTTTTCTCTGGTTTATAGATGCGGGGTCTGAGGCTCAGGAGTGCTGAGCTCACACGCAGCCTGGAGTGTAAGAGGAAGCAACACCGGAGTCCCTCGGCTCTCCGCCGCGCACACACGTGGCCTATGGAGCGGGTTCATTTTCCAAGAAAAGGCTAGCAGAGGCCAGGGCATCTGCTCCTGTCAGCTCATGATGGTCATGAGAGGCATCACCCATCCATCCATCCATCCATCCATCCATCCATCCATCCATCCATCCATCCTTCCATCCATCCATCCATCCATCCATCCTTCCATCCATCCATCCTTCCATCCATCCATCCATCCATCCATCCTTCCATCCATCCATTCTTCCATCCATCCATTCTTCCATCCATCCATCCATCCATCCTTCCATCCATCCATCCTTCCATCCATCCATCCATCCATCCTTCCATCCATCCATTCTTCCATCCATCCATTCTTCCATCCATCCATCCATCCATCCTTCCATCCATCCATCCTTCCATCCATCCATCCATCCATCCTTCCATCCATCCATCCTTCCATCCATCCTTCCATCCATCCTTCCATCCATCCATCCATCCATCCATCCTTCCATCCATCCATCCTTCCATCCATCCATCCATCCATTCTTCCATCCATCCATCCATCCATCCATCCTTCCATCCATCCATCCTTCCATCCATCCATTCTTCCATCCATCCATCCATCCATCCTTCCATCCATCCATCCTTCCATCCATCCATCCATCCATCCTTCCATCCATCCATCCATTCTTCCATCCATCCATTCTTCCATCCATCCATCCATCCATCCTTCCATCCATCCATCCTTCCATCCATCCATTCTTCCATCCATCCATTCTTCCATCCATCCATCCATCCATCCATCCATCCATCCTTCCATCCATCCATCCTTCCATCCATCCATCCATCCATCCTTCCATCCATCCATCCATTCTTCCATCCATCCATCCTTCCATCCATCCATCCATCCATCCATCCTTCCATCCATCCTTCCATCCATCCATTCTTCCATCCATCCATTCTTCC